GGTTCAGTACCAAGAGGGATTTCCCAACTGGCCTGGCACACCAGTGCCTGCACAAGTTTGGGTCTGTTGTTTCGCACGGTTTGTGTGCCTTTTTTTCCCTTTATGCAATCTCTTTCAGCTTTAGCAGCAGAAATACATCAGATGGAAAAGATATGCCAGAGGGCAGCTTGGAAAAGATGATTGTCATATATATACATATATATGTATGTGCGTGTGTTCAAATTTCTGCAACTGAACTTTTGAAGAAAATCTGACTGGAGGAAATCTTAAAAGCCTTAAGTTACTTGAAACCTACACATTTGCAACTCTCTGTCTCTGGAATTGCATTACGCTAAACTGGAATCTCAGGCTGTATAAAGATTATATCAAGTTGAGCAAAAAGATGACTTAACCATTTCTTGAGCGCCTCTTACGAAGTAGCTGTTTCTCCAAAGGATAAGTGCACCCTCACTCTACAGACTCAAAAACAAAAATGAACCTGAATTTTTTTTTTAAGTGTTACTTTTTCTTAGCCAACTGCCATCATCTTTTATAGAGGAATTTTTCACTATGCATTTGGTGGATATTTATAAACACTGACCCCATCCTCCTCCCTTTCAATGATCTATCCCAGGTCAGTCTTATCAATAAAAAAAAAAATTGATTTAAATTTTGTGCACTAGACATATTACTTTCTTATGTCAAGAAATAAAATATTTTAAAAGCATGTATGCAGCAGTGGAACATGGGCCTGTTCTTTGCAGCGATTCCAACATCCTCTGCCTCTCCTGGAAAGGTAGAGTCCCCAAAAGTGAGAAGGAGAAACCAGTGTGCAGGAGGCGGTACTACGAGGAAGGCTGGTTGGCAACAGGCAATGGCAGAGGAGTTGTAGGCGTCACTTTTACTTCCAGCCATTGCAGGAGGGACCGGAATACCCCTCAGAGAATCAACTTCAATTTAAGGGGCCACAACAGTGAGGTAAGCAAAATGTGTGTTACACTTTACAGGAAATTATCGCAATCTTTTGGTTTTGGTTTTTGGGTTGTTTGTGGCGTTTTTTTTTTAGTGTTTCTGCTTGAAATTTGACAGGGTGATATCAAGGAGGCTCAAGACTAATTCAAATATGATTGGGATCTTTTGGAGTCTTTCTAATAACTTCAAGTGCATGAGGTGAATGGTGGGGAGGTTCTCTGGAAATGGGTCTGGTTTTGGCTTGGCTTGCTTCCTCCCTCATTCCCTATTGCCTCCCAATTTCCAGTCAGATTCAATAATTGTGTTTTAAGGGAGTTGAAAGTTGTGACAGTTGACTGCTTTTATAGAGTATTAAAGCGGCTTGGAAGATTAATGGAAAAGTAGGAGAGTGGGAGAGGAGCTTGGTTGAAGCATGCCAGTTTTTCAGAAGCTGCAACTGGAACGGTCTGTGGCAGGAAATACCTGTCGTCTCTAGAAAAACTTAATTTTGTTAGAGAAAGAAGGAAGTAGGACTTCTCAGAAAAATGTTAAGATGCCCTGCATTAAAATACTGTAACTTCAGAGTGCAAGGCATTGTCCTGGCTAAAGTGATACAAAACTTTTCAATTGATTTTTTTCTAAAGGGGATAAATCTGTTGGTAAAAGTGACTGTTCCAGCTGTGATTTGTCATCTTTCTGGATCCTATCTCTTTCTCTGCATAATGCTTCATGGAAAGTGCAGATGATGCCCAGTAGCATACACAGTACCTAGAACAGGTGTGAGGACTTTGCTTCTGATTTTTAGTTAGGCTGCATTTAGATGTGCTCTTTGAAGAGAATCCAAATCAAAGCTTTACTCTTAGATTAGTGAGTGGAATGACATCGTATGTACTGAAATGAAACAAAAAATCCAATGGGGTTTTTCTTTTGTGCTACTTACTCATTGGACTCTAATATGTTGACCTTTTGACATAAGCCGCACCAAAGATTTAGAGGTGGGTGGTTTTTGTTCTTGTGTTAACATTAATATCAATCCTCTTTTTAAGGGGAAAAAGGGAGCACGGGATAAATATTTAGTCTTAAATAATTTGTTCCACATGCTTTGTTTATAGTCAGGTGCATGGATGTATTGTAAATTATATAGACTTTTATATTTATAGACGAGAGACTGAATAATGTATATATGTGTATTGAGTTCATGCAAAAAAATTACAGCCACCTTTTCCCAAATGGAAGAATGATGTTTGAATCCAGCTTTTGTTTTGAGCCATCTCTAGTTGTCCATATAATTTTCAGTTGCAAACTGCATTTTATTTTTTAAATGTATGGATAAGCGATCACTTTATTTATCCATATTTTCTTCTCAACTTTTTCCATGAACCCAGGCACCCATTTTTTTCTTTTTGCATAATATGTGTCGTGGAAACAATAGAGGAAGTGCTGTTTATGGGAATGTGAAGTCTTGTTGCAGATCGTGGAAATACGAGACTAGGTTTAAGTATGTGCTAGTTAAGTGGAGAAGATGCTGATGTGCCTGTTGCCCTTTGTTTTTGTCTAGTTTTGCTTTGTTTACAGAGTTGCCCATCTAGGGCATCTTGTTCCTTCTGGATCACTGCATCATTGCTGTGTGGACTGAGCTGTACTGTTTGCACATCCTTTCACCTAGCAGCAATTGTCACCAGGATCTCAAATAAAAGAAAAATGTTCTGATTGATTTTATTTTTTATTTTTTATTTGGCACTTAAAATCTGTTGGGTCAAGCTTGTAATTAATAGTTGTGTTTTTGTAATTAGTCTTCTTGATAGCAGAAAGTGTGTGAATGACCAGAATACTCTGTCATACAGAATGTATCTGTATGACACTACAAAATTGGTGTGGTGGGGTCATACTGAAGGAAGAAGAGAAGTGGCTTTAGCTCAGCTGCCTTTCTATGATGAGTCTGTGGCTGCTATCAGATTTTCCTGCTGGCATGTTTTTTGAATATCAGTGGAGATGAAAGTTCATCCTTATAAGATGATGTGTTACACAACACTCTTCACCAGGCTTACTGAATGTAATCCTTTTATAGGAGTAACCTGCTGATTTTGGTAGAAATGAAACTGTAATACAGGATTTGTTAGTTGTTAAAGGTATATAGCTGAATGGACAAGGTGATTTTTTTAGAAAACACCTTTCCTTCCAAATCTGTCTGTTGAAAGATCCTTTAAAAGAGAAAAAGTTGAACTGCACTGCTTAGTGCTAATGTTTACGTAAATAGAAAATACTTTCTTTTTCCATTTTCATGTTAAAAAACAAGCCAGCAACAACCTTGTCTCTTCTGTATGCCACATTATATGCTAATTCTGCAAGCATATCTTGGCATATGTGTCTGATTAAAGCTACCTTTGTTGTACAGAAGGTATCCAAAAGGTTGCAATTGACTTAAAACTGTGTAAGAGCCTGTGTGACCAGTTCTAGGAGTGTATTGTATTGTCTTGTTCCAAGAAATGGTGATTTATACCTCTACATATTTCTCTCTGGGATAAAGCTAGAGTGACAAGTCAAGTTTATTGCTTTTCTGACATACATTGCTGCTTAATATTAGTATGCATTCAATTATGAGGTGGGAAATGCTGTAGTGAACAGAGCTGAAGAGGTGAAAATACAGAAGCTAAATGGTTTCCATTTGGGGTATAATTAGCGATATGCTGTGGGCAGAGCAGCATACTTGTATTTCTTATATAACTTATATTTCAGTTTTAGGGTGAAAATCTGGAAAAGGTAACGTGGCAGCACTGTGCTTTTGGAAAGAACGTGAGACTATTTTTAAGTGGGTCATGAAGGTAGATGCCAGAAATATATTTTTGTTATGTTTTTATGATTACTGGAGATGCACTTAAACCTTTGGTACACAGCTCCTTTTTTGAATGTAATAGTATGCCTGTAGCATATCAGAACAAATAAGAACGAAGAATCCCCAGGACTGAATTACTGATACACATGTTGCAGTGCTGAACTTGTATGTCTCATTATATTGAAAAATATTTGAAAATGAAATGCTTTATAGTTTGAGCCACACTTGTGATCTTACGCTTGCTTCAAGGTAGGTTTTTTGAGCTTGCAATTAGGAGATGGCTGCCGTAGTATTTTAATTACCAACCTTTTCTTTTATTGTAGTTTCTAAAGAGAGCTGCAGGGATTAAAATAAGAATATTCCATTTATTTTGTGGCAAGAGGTGAAAATCCTACCTTTTGTGATAGATTTTTTTTAACTTCAGCATTGCATTACAGTACTGAATCTCATTAACATAAGCCTCGACATTCTAAAAATGAAAATGTAAATGGGCACATTTCAAAGGCAGAAGCAACTTTGACTTGGAAGGGGAAATGTGTGTTGTGCAGCTCCAGTGTGTTTCACGTGTCGTCAGAACACCTTGCCTCTCTTATTGTGGAATAGAAAGTATCTCTGTGAGGGTAGGTAGTGGAAGGAGCAGGTGAATGTTTGCAGAGGTTCATTGTTCAGTTTGGCTTTGGAGCATTTCCCTTGGTCTGGGAGAACAAACTGGTGAGTTGATGTTAGGTGGATTTCTTGCTTAAGTCTGGCAGAGAGGTTAGAAGGCAGGAAGATACGTCGTTGTACCACAGTGTGAATTAGCAGCCCAGGAGCGGAGATGTCGTGATCTAAAGTACCTTCCCCAGCTCTGCACGTGTAAAGGCAGTGCTGTGGAGAATTAAAGAGTGAAAATTAGAAGTCTTTGATTTTGACCTAACTTGACTTTCCTTGGCTGCACTGGGAAACACTGGTAGAAAAGTAATTGGGCACATTCCTTTTATGATTCTTACTATTTCTGTGATAAGTTAAGGATTAAATGAAAAATACCTGGTCACTTGGCAAGGTCAGGGTTTTACCCAGAATGACTAGTAGGCTCTGAAGCATGTCAGGCTGAGTATGTTTTTTTATAAGACCATGGAGACACTGACTTTCAGCTTCTAGTCCAACCTGAGTTTTCTGGGAAGAGATTTTCAAGGAGGTCTGTGAAAGATTTTTAGAAAAATAGCCCAAACTCATCCTCAGTGAGCTTCAGATAGCCTTACAAGGATCTTCCCTTTCAGTGAAAGATTAACGGGATGTCTGCAAATCAAATTGGTTGGATGGTGCCACTGTAGGTATTTTTCTCTTAATGGGTTCTATTGGGTCAAGTGTATTAAGATGGTAACATTTTCTGTGGCAATGAATGTATCTTATATTCTTACATGTTTTTCAGGTGTATGTATTTTCTTTGCACTGTACTGACTAAAAAGACATCTTTGATATATGTAATAAGATGCAATATGTTAATTACTGGACTGAGGCATTAAGAAGTAGTGCAAGAATATGCAAATTGGGATGCAGTGAATTAAGTAACATGGTGAATACATTATTGAGTATGTATAACATTTTTTACTGTAAACAAAGTAAATTGCTCATTTATTTACATTTTGTTATTTGAGTGTCCTAAGTGCATGACTACAGCTGCAAAACCCACCTGATTTTGTTTAATACAGGATTTATAAGTAGAAAGGGACATAAACATATCTCAGCTGGACTGTCAGATTAATTATTTTTAGTTACAGCTTTTCAAAGGAATTCTGTCCTTTAAAAATATTCAATAAATGTTGCTTTCATACTACATTAGTTTGGAAGGCTGAACAGTTCTTGGGTTTGTTTTGGTTTAGAGTGGAAGGAGGTTACAAATAGTTATTCCTGTTTTAAAAATAAAGCTTTTCTTTATTCTGTCCACCTTTTGGGGCTTGTATATGAACGTTCTGAGCAATTCTGGCAGAGCAGATTCTTTGCAGAAGTTTATTGCTTGTATATGAAATAAATTTTTTAAAAAACCCAGCACAACAAAAAACAAGCACAAAAAACCAATCCCCACAAATGAACCTTTTCAGTAGTGTTTTTTGTTTTTTAGTATCATAGAATCATAGAGCTATTCAGGTTGGAAAAGACCCTTGGGATCACCAAGTCCAGGCATCGTCCCTACTCTGCAAAGTTCTCCCCTAAA